AATTACCTTGAAGTTTTCTATCAAGCAATGTCAACCTACATACTGAGACTCATCTTGAATGTCGGCTTATATAATCAATAGCTAAAAATGTAATGTAAATAAGGAAATCTATACATATAATACAATAATGTAACGAGACCGAATCTATAGTTTTTAGAATTTTTGTCTGTCGTCATCTGTTGCCTGGCATCACAGAAAAATCACAGGAGGGATTTTGATTAAATTTGGTATGGTGATAGTTGGTTATCCGGGTCAACATATAGGATACTTTTTACCGCGGGAAAAATCTCATTTCTAAAAAAAGGAAAACCTGCAATGTAAGAGTATACTAATCTATAAAACCTAAGAATTTGGTTTTTGGTCATCTGAACGCGGGCGTAGCCGCGGGCAATGCTAGTATTGAATAAATTATGATACAATTAGTTAAAAAATCTTAGTAACAAAATTATGTATGTGGCCTTGTAATGTATGTGAAACCGCAGTCGCGAATGTGTACATTCAAAAATTATAACTTCATGATAAAATTAAATTAATAGTATACACTTTATGCATGTGAAGATGCTGGACCAATTTTCATACGGTTTTTTTATGTTTAATATATGTATACTGACCTGGCACAAAGCCTTTGGGGTCTTTCCTTTCATATTCTTCTGACTTCTCCGACTCTACCTCCAAAACATCCTCACATACCACTCTTTGAACCAATACAAAAATACACACACACACCAAAACGATCTTTAACTCGCGCATTTTATAAAACATCGATAACTATAATATGTCAGTATACGCCATTTTGGACTTTCAGTCACATCTTCGTTTTTGTTTTGTACACATAAAATGTAACACCACACTATTTTTTGGAAAAAATCGATTTTTTTTCAATTGTTTTTCGATCGATTTTGATGAACTGTCGTATACACGCGTGTAGTTTGTCGCTCTAGCGAAGGTACTGCTCGTTTGTGAGTGGTAGGGATCCCCACTCATGCGCGCGCGCAAGCCTTCAATGGACGCACCGCTATAGCTAGGGCTGCTACATATAACAGATTTTTCTTAGGAAATTTAGTGACTTAAACCTTCTCTAAGCGTGTGTTACAAAATACTTTCTTAGATTTACGCGAATATTTGATACCTACTTTAAATAAAACTATCCTTTGATTTTTGGTTCCCAACGTTTCGAATTAACCATGATTGCTGTAAATCATTAGAAACGTCGGGAACCAAAAATCAAAATCCGCGAGTAAATCCGAAAAGATAGTTTTATTTAATACGTATGTTACAAATTTTATTGACAACATGTTTGGGTCAGTTTGTAGTGACCCTACTTGCTGTGCCAGTGGTCTCGGGTTCGAGTCCCGCCTGGGGGCATTCATTTGTGTGATTAGCACGAATGTTTGTCTTCCGAATTAATTCCAGGTATAAGCCACTATTTAATCAACCAATTTCTAAAACAAAATGCACTAGCAATATCTTCTTATACCGTAGCTGCCAAAATTATAATAAAACATATTCAGATATTGACACTTTCTTTGAACAAAATAGTTCTTTTAAATGTAAAATATATAAGAGAAATGAAAACATTACATTATAATTTCCTAGTCTACACAATATATGTATAGTAATAATATTTACCCTGTAGCCACATTTTCATATTTTTAGATTTTTGTTTTATGTACATATGTCACTGTAGCCACATTTGTTGTTATGGCCTATTCGTTCATTTAATTTATGTTGTATAAAATTGTCGCATATTATATAACTTTTGCTTTGAGTTAGGTTACCTACCTATGTTGAATTATATTTGTTTATGCTAGTGTTTATATATTTGCTATCAGTGGAAACTTAGCTAATGTATATATTGTCGGATTTTACTATTGTATCCATCACCATCGTTTGTTTCCCTAATAAAAAAAATAAAAAATAAAAAAATCCAGTCATGGGTGTTTATATTCATAATATGAATGTATTTAAAGTACCTAACATATAACATACCAAATATCTGGTATCCATAAAACAAGCCTCGTAGCTTACCATGGAACTAGATGGTGGTGTTTGTTAATGTCCCAACATATTTAAATTATAACTTTACACGCATATAAAGTAATGCCCAGATTTCATGGCCAATAACTAACTTGTTCATTTTAGTTTTTTTCAGGGATTTCGTTTTTTTACGATTAAGATATAAATTATGAATATTAAATATGTATTTATTCTATTTTGCTACTCCTCTTGATACGATATAACATTTATGAATTTATATACGTAGGTTTTGATGTTTTCCGGGATAAGAGCTATCCTATGTCTCTATACAAAATTTCATCTCAATCGGTTAAGCGTTTTAAAACGTGAAAAAGTAACAGACAGAAAGACAGAGTTACTTTCGCATTCAGAATATTATATAGTACCTATACAGTATGGATGTCGCGCATATAATGTAATTATTAATCACCAAAATTTATTTTGCTAAGCTTTAATTAAATTATCTTTGTAAAATAAAATCAAAATAAACAAATAATGCTAATCGATTCGACGATTAATTATAAAAAACCATAAACCTGTATGTCGTAGTGACAAGTGGCAGCCCTAGCATGAGTACCGCACACCTCATAATGGGTAGATAAGCTATCTAAGAAAACTGTGGTCAGTGTAATTAAGCCCGACGCCGTACCGTTACCGTTCGTGATAAGCACAATTATTGATCTTATTGTTTTTAATTGACAAATATTTTTGATTTGTTTGATTATTCATTACCTAAGTCCAAAAATGAAATTTTCTCAAATACGTTCGAATTTTTCTTTGTATTGACCATACTTTGATATTAATATGATTTGAAGTAAATGATCCTTCCCTAGGTATGACATTTTTTTTTAATTAATTCTACTTTAACTAAAATGAATATATTATTACTTTCTTAGATTTACGCTAATATTTAGGTTTTTCGGTACTAAAAATCCTAATAAATGCACAAAAAATCTAAAAAGATAGTTAAGTTTTAATTACAATAAGTTATTCTAGTTTTTAAGAAAATAAATTGTTTAACATTAAATTATCATTATATCTTTCGCATAGTAAATTTCATCAAAATCTATCTAGTGGTTTTCTCGTGATGCCGTAACAGACAGACAGACTGACAAAAATTCTAAAAAGTATAGATTCGGCCTATGTATCGATAATAATGTCTATTTCAATAAGATTTCCCAAAAAATATTTAATGTACAGATTCGACTTAGTTACAATTTTATTATATTACGAGTATGTATTATAGATTAACTATCGAGTATGATTTCGCCCAAGAAGGTTCTATATCTATTTTAATGTAGTGCACTAGGGAATAAGCGTGTGATTTAAATAAACGTGAAATATTTATTTTTATAATCTTTATTGCATTTGAATTAAGCTCATACTAATATTTTTTAATGTAATTTCTTTTTGATTAAGAAAATAATAATTATTATTAAAAATTGCAAAAAACAGTTGGAAAATTCAAAGTAGTTGAATCGCACGCCATTGGTCAGACAGAATATTACGTCATAGTATACTACATTAAAATAGATATAGAACCTTCTTGGGCGAAATCATACTCAATAGCTAATCTATAATAGGTACATATAATAAAATTGTAACTAAGCCGAATCTTTACATTAAATATTTATCGGAAAATATTATTGAAATAAATATTATTATCGATACAGAGGCCGAATCTATAGTTTTTAGAATTTTTGTCTGTCTGTTACCGCATCACGGAAAGACCACTGGAGGGATTTGATGAAATTTGGTCAACATATAGGATACTTTTTACCGCGGGAAAATATCTCATTCCTGAGAAAAAATACAAAAACGGCATTGTAAGAGTATACTAATATGTAAATACCTAAGAATTTGTTTTTTTTTCATCTGAACGCGGGCGGAGCTGCGGGCAATGATATTTAATATTTATATAATTGCCTAGATGTACGGGTGCAGATCCATAGGTTGAAAATTCACATCCTGGGTGGACCAAATATAGTTATTGGCTTTTTTGTCAAGAAATCAAAGTATCGGCCCAGATTTTCTGCCAGAGGTTAATAATAGAATAATGATAGTTTATTATAACATTATAATATAATAATAGAATGCATTTAGTATGCGTTTTCAATAAAATAATAACACTCATTAATGAAATCAGTTTTTGTTTATTCCACAAAAATTTAATTTTACATCGTTCTATTTTCAACTATATTTAGATTAATTGAATAACTAATATAAATTAAAAAAATATACGAATTCAATTCTTACATGAAAACAAAAATAAAGAAATGTAAATAAATAAGTAAATAATATAAATAAGTAATAATAAATTATAACAATAAATATTGTATTTATTTATGTTTGTTTTTAAATATTATGATATAAATGACACTTTGAAACTGGGTAGGGCATTGAGCATTCAGAAGGTATCGGAGACTATATGGATACGGCTTAGAAATAAGATCCTACTATATATACACTAGCCTAAACAAATCCGTGTATTTTTTTAAATAATAATTATAAATGTTATAAATATAAAAATATAATGAATATTTTCTATTAAATACTATATTAATATGGCACATGTTACTTAGCGAATGTAATTTATATAAGTACTTGTTTTATCTTAAGTTTTGCCTGCAACACTAATGCTTCTCAAATTAACACATCCTTATAGCACACAGAGAGTAATCATATATATAAGTATAGTATGTATACAAGTATACTATGTAATATGTATATTGTTTAACACAAAGACACCATCATAAACTAAAGCAACTTTCATTTACAAACATAAGATTGTATTCTTAGTAATCAATATATATTTTTTTACAATGCAAAATCATTTGTTCATTACATATATCTTTCATTAAGTTACATTATTGCAATATATAAAAAACTGTTGGAAATATATATTAAAAATGTAACAAAACTGATTATTATGATGTTTTGACCAAATATAAAATGTCACATACTTAAAAGTTTATCCTACACTACCTATTTTCCTTATCCTGCTTATATCTTATTAGATGTTTAATGATACACTTTAACTTTTCTAATTTCTTTTTCAGTCTCTGTCTGCCTTGCCACATTATATTAAGCCTTTTCTTCCTATTTGCGGCTATTATTTCTAGTCTTTTAACTTTGAATTTCAATTTTATAACTTCTTCTGTATCTGTTGGTTTAATATCTATTGGAAGGCAGTTTGAAATTGTAGGTTCAGGTTCTTGACAAGGCTGAAAAATTAAATTGTACAAAAGTTAGGAAATATTACTTTCATAATGTCCAAATTCAATCTTTTCCATTATATATGACAAGACAATAGTTATCTTTACTCAACTGGCATGCTTATAAGCTATTTACAAAGAATTAAATTAAAAAAAGAATATTCTTATTAAGACTTTTTTTTTAAAATAAGTAAAGCATTGACATGAAAAAAGATATTATATAATAATATCAACATTTAATAGTATTGATGTATATAATACTAACTTACAGATATATTTATTGAAGGAACAGCATCCATAGATAACCTTCGCAGTCCACTTACAGTTATATAAAAATCTTTAGCATCAAAATGTTCAGAGCATACTGCACTGGACAAAGTAGCTGACCACTCTTCACGATTCACTGCAATTTCCCAAAGGCGTTTTCTGTCTGGGTCCCGAGGAAATCTGAAATCAGTCAGAAAATTTTACTGCATTATTCAGATGCTACAAAATCAAAATATTAAATTCATTCATGCCTTTCATATTTTAAAATATATTTAATTGTTATAATGAATACTTTCTTAGATTTACACGAATACTTGACATTTTAAATAAAACTATCTTTTCGGATTTTTTCATGAATTTATTTTGTTTTATTTAAAATGTTATAATGAACTATAAGATTTATACTATTGTCATGATGTAGGTAATTAAGAAGATAAAAAGCAAAAGCTCACAGTTTCTAAGCCTTAATAATACTTTACCTGTGAAAAGTAATGCCATCTTTATTTTTAGATATTTTAGCAGATGTATTTTTGCAATTAGATACAGCACAACAAACCATTGCTTTTAAATGAATTTACTGTATCAATTATTTTATTAAATCCTTCATTTAATATCAAAATTTGTGATTATTATTTTATATTGATATGTCTTCAATTTACCGACCTAGTAAGATTTACCTTTTAATTATTATTTTTTGTGGTCGGCATTTGGCAAAATAACAACAAACGAATAAATGTCAATGTCACTGTCGAGTGTCGGCTGTCACTAAATGATTTCTAAACTGAAATATGACTATTTTCGAGATAAACAGCCAAATAATAAAATTTATTTTTTTGTTAAATAATATTAATACATTATTAGCTGCTCCTTTCAACAATATAGACAATTAAATCAGTTTAGTAATTACTCATTAGTCATTTTATTCGTTTGCAACTTCAGATACTTTACCCTTGATATTTAATATGCCGAGCACAGAGAAATATTACTATATACACAAAATATCACAGAATACTCTATATAGAAATGCCGAGATAAAAAAATAATATCATAATAAAAAAAAGCTGACTGCGCAAAAAAAACCACACTAAAGCGATGAGAATAAGTTGACGAAAGAACATAGTTTAGGTACTATGCAGTCGGAGATATATTTATGTACAATGTAGATGTTTCTCACTGCATTGTACATAATACTATGAACAAGTCCTCGAGTCCCAGTCTGTGCACTTCGTCAACTTATTCTTATCGTTTTAGTTCAATGCTGCAATCGGCTTTTTCAGTTTAATAATTATTTTTTATTTACAGCAAGCTTTTTAGTTTTGGCCAGTTAGACATTTGGTGTTTTATTTAACAATTTCTTATCCCAAATTACTTTAAAAGATATTAGTTGTATACATTTTTATGATCCCCTCTTAAAAACCTTCATTTTTATAGTCCAGTCTATAGGCTTAGAATAAAAACTTTTTATCAATACAGACAAATTGACGCCTGAAATCCAAATTTGCCTTTTAAATTTTTAATAACATCCAATATCATACACTATGATACTCTCATTATCAAGATAAATCTTACGAAATATTATTCATCAAATTCGGTTAAGCTATTTAGTAATTACGAGGGCAAACTACATACATACAGGAATTAACTATTTCTTACGTAGAATATTTTATTTTTATTTATTGAGAAGTCTTGAGATCGAGTGAAGCCAAAACAGATAATGTTTTTCTTTCAAAAAACTCAGTAGCATCATCAAAAACATTAGTCATAGATGAACAATAAAATAGCAGTTGGGAAGTCGGCGTTTACACCACCTTTCTTTAGAGTGCACGCTATGTTCATATTCCTGCGCCTAATCTCTCGCTAGTCGTGTCGAATTCTCATCCCACCGTAATATGAGTGTTAAAATAAAGAGAGAGTGCACTTGTGCCTGCATACACGCTCGTGCACTATACTGCGAATAACAGATAAACCTCGCGTGCGGGAATTGCATTTTAAGAAGCTATTCAGCTCATCACGCCGAAGATCTTCACCAGATCTTCACAAATATTTTATAGACCAACCGAACCTAATCTTTCAAATAAAAAAAGAACTATCGAAATCTGATCTCACAAGGCGGAGATATTCAATAGCCCCCTTTTGCCGCTTTCAGGAGAAAGAAATCCTCGATGACAATAAAAATCTATAATATATATTTATAATAAATTGTATTGATTAAAAATATCCTATAATGCGACCAGTAGGTATTTAGTTTTGCCGTTTACCTCTTAGAGGCAAAGTCACAAACTATATTTTTTTTCTTTATAATATTAGCTCTTAATTTATTAGTGTAAACTGATAGTAGTATGATATAAAAAGGAATAATAGTCAGTCTTAACTCATTGGCGTAGATATCTATTGTGCATAGTTAAAATTATTAATAAAACGCCTGTCAATAAAATTGCACTATAATGAGCCCTCGACGATGCCATATGCTTATTATACAAGAGGTAATGATTGCATGTCGACTGTCGGTATCGTGACGTCTTCATTATATTTTTATTTCGGGGAGCCGTGGTGTGACCGACCCGCCCACTTTTAGCGGGTATAATAGAGACGTTTAAATTAAGGGCTTGCTACCACTTCGTCGTAGTGGAAATTGTCAAGTAGTGATGTGACATTTAAAATTTATCGATATATAATTTTAATTTTTTATTTGTCGATTTTATTTCATATACTAATTACCTTATGTACTTATTTTTGTAATAAGTAAATCTTAGTACAATCATATTTTAATATATTTAATCTATTATTTTACAGATTAGGCAAGTGAAAAATCTATGAAAATCTTTTCAGAAAATTAAACCAAAATGTAGTGCAATAGTACATTGTTTTCTAGATTGAGTAAGTCCATAAAATATATTTGGTTGTATGGTAAAAGTTAAATTATTTATATATTTAATAGAATATATTGAAGTCTACAAGATTGAGTTTTAAGAAAACCTGTTAAATATTAGAAAGATAAAAGAAAGGTTTTCAAATTAATTTATCAACAATACCGTAATTGAATGTTTAAAAATTCCTTGCAACTAACATATAATATGGTAATTTTATTTATTTTAAAAACGTTTCATAAAAACAAAAAAAAACTTTTTCATATAGTTTACTTAAGTAGCACTCTTGATATATGATTTTTAAAATTCTACTTATCAAAAATGTATGTATACGGCGGCGTCGGTAAAAAAGATTTACTAATATTTTACGTGTAATATTTCCTTGAGCGTAGGGTTACACGTGATCTGAGACTATATAAATGAAGTTTTCTTTTACTGGAAACATTTATATTTCGACCTTCAATCTATAAGCATTAAAATGATACGATCATTTATAGCGAGCCTCGAAGATCCCCAGAAACCACTGCTTGGTCCGAGCTATTGGATTTTAAAGAAAATGGGACTAATTTTGGAAAAAAATAATTTAGTTAAAGCCATGTACATAATCATACATGAAATGGTAGCAATTTTTGTTGTTACCCAATACATCGAGCTATATGTGATAAGATCAGATCTAGATGAAGTATTAACGAATCTAAAGATATCCATGTTGAGCATTGTATGTATTGCTAAAGCTAATACATTTGTATTTTGGCAAAAAAGTTGGAGAGAATTAATTGAATATGTCACAGAAGCAGATATATACGAAAGAGATTACAATGATACGCGGAAAGTGAAAATTTTAAATTCGTACACTAATTACTGCCGCCGAGTCATACATTTCTATTGGATTTTAGTCTTCATAACATTTGCGAGCGTAATATCAACTCCTTTAATAAAGTATTTATCATCAGCCACGTATAGAGAAGCTCTCATTAATGGCACTGAGCATTTTCCCCATATTTTTAGTGCATGGACGCTATTTGACAAATATAGCTTTCCTGGTAACTGGGTTACGGTTATTAATCACATTTTGTTATGCGCCTATGGATCTGGAATTATGGCTGCATATGACACAACTATAATCGTGATCATGGTATTTTTTGGAGGGAAGTTAGAACTGCTACGGGAACGATGCAGGACAATCTTCAGTTTCAAAGGCTCAAGTGTAAGTGATGAGCAGGCGATCAGAGCAATACGCGAACTCCATAACATACATGTTGTCTTAATGAAGTAAGTATTTTAAACTCAAAACAAATCTTTGTATTAATAATTAAGTATTTTTAAACTCAATACGAAACTCAGGTCTTCTTAGGTCGCGGAAGTTAGAATTTTTGGAAGCTTATATTGAAAATACATGTATTACCTTAATCATAATGACCGGATATATTATAAAAAGACTCTTTATAGAAATTATAAAAGATATTATCATTGTTTTTGTGGCCAACATAAATAGTTTTACAACAAGATCACAGAAATAGTCAATTAATTATAAAGAACTGTTATACTAATGTAAAAGGTTCTGTTAAATGATTTTATAGAAGGCTGTTGACACTTTGCCTGGTTTTACCTTTCCCCTATCGCTGTTTGGTATTTTATAGGATGCATTATTTAATTGACTAGTATGTACGTACGGCTACAGATCCAGATGTCCTGGGTTCGAGTATAGAGTTTCTCTTTTAAGGTATCCTCAGTAACAGTCTGGAGTTGTTGAGTTGGCGGTGTTTCATTCCCGTGCCTCTGAGAGCATGTAAAGCTGTCGGTTCTGCGCCTTAAAACTCTGACCGGTCGTGTCGAAGTATCGTCCCATCAAAATTTGAGAGTAAAAGGAATGGAGAAATGCAATATAATATCTCCTGCGTATCTTTCCATATGAAATTTCTACTTATATCCAATAGGATATAAGTAATTCTTTATTTTCTTATTTTTTTATATGAAAATGAACTTAAAACGTAACCGACCATAAAGCGTGCAATTTAGCCTATACTAATATTATAAAGAGGTAAAGAGGTAAAGTTCGTTAGTTTCTGACGTTGTAGGGGGTAATCCCTGGAATCTGGATCTACTGAACAGATTTAGATCAAGGTAAGAAGATAGCTTGAGACCCTGAGAAGGACATAGGATACTTTTTATCCCGGAAATCATCCCTTAAGGAGGTGACAATGGGGATAAAAATTTGTTTTGGGAAGCAAGCCAGAACGTGAGCCGCTAGTTATTAAATAATTATTTTATATTACAATACATACTAATTACAAAATAAAACTATCATTTTAGAAAACTTATTAGAATATCGAAATCAGATAATTTTCATTCCCTCTATGAAACTATGAAACCCTCCTTCGTAATATTAAATTATAGATAATTATAATATTTCTAAGTAAATCTTGAGATTTCTCAACTAGATCGTCCATCGAGTTCTAGTTCTCATGACGAACAAATCATGACAAATTTTGTGAAATTAGAACAGTGTAATTGCTTTGTATTGAGTAGATTCTATATCAGAAAACTATTTAAAACTTAATTTACAAAAAAAATCGAAGAAAATTATTCCTCAGGCGAAGCTAAATGTACACTTTTATACAAAATATTTTTTAACATAAGTAAAATAAAATGGCTCGAAATATTATTTATGATGTTTTGTACCATAGAAATTGTGTACTACTGAATTATAATATTTGTATTCCTGATCCAATTCAGTCAAAGGGGTCAATCGTAATGAGCGTGCCATTAAAGATATTATACAAATGCAAGTGTACTTTCAATTTTTCTGACTCCCAAACTCTGGCATGATGACAATTCATCACGACTGGTGAGAGATCAGGCGTCCAACTTTAGGCTTTACGTGCTCTTGGATTTGAAACCCGGCTCCACCTGAGACGTTAATCTAGGATTCTGGACTTGACTAGACAAACTAGGCAGTCAAAAAAATATATAACAAAAGCAAGAGTAGTACTTTGTTTTCTCCATTTCGTTGCTCACATCTCTAGAGACACGCTCTCTTTTTGGAAGTTTTTGAAAAATTTCTAATGCATAAAATTTGATCCTAGAATCTAAAACTTGTTCAGCTAACTACATTTTCACAATAAATCCTTATGTGTCATATAGAAAACCTTACTTTCATATTTTATGTCAATCTTATATTTAATATTTTCATATATTTACGCGAATATTTGACATTTTAAATAAAACTAACTTTTCGGATTTTTTCGCGAATTTATTTTGATTTTTGGTTTCCGACGTTTTGAATGCTTTACAACAATCATGGTCACGGAAGAGACTAAGGTGTCAGATGTCTCAAAGGTATTATATAGTTGTTACAGACAGCCTACCCACAAATAACAAAATGAATTCAAAAAAATCTTTGTCTCTCCCGTGACCATGATAGTTTTACTTTAAAATTTTATATTTCATCTTATCTTAGAGAGTTTGATATTTTATTTTATTTGTATTTATATATATGTACACATTTACTGCTCAAATGCCAAATTTAACCTACTCGCTTGCTACGCCCATATAAATAAGGATATACGAGTGTTACTCAATAAATAGTGTAACTTCCTATTAGGGCCAGAATTTTCAGAGTCATTACTTACAAAGATGCGTATTCAGCCCATATTAACGTCCCAGCAAGATCAGCCCACAGACCACCACGTTAGTGAAGTGTGGGTTGGCAGCCTTCACATGTCTTTCGAAAACTTGCTAGGTTTTCTCAGACAGGTTTTCTTACGATTTTTCCATCACCGTAAGACGAGTTGTAATGTGTTGTAAATTTGTTTCCTTTGAAATTGAAATTTGAATGGAATTTTTTCCGGAGTTTAAATCCGCTTCCCCCAGTTTCCCAAGCGAGTGCTTTGCCACGGACTCAAAAATATTTATTTATTTTATTTATTTATTTATAATATATGTATATTATTAATGCAAACAAACAAATTTTACCTATTTATAATAGTTAATATGGTTTTGTTTTGACCTGCCCTTTACGCTTCATAATGGCATACATATTCTGCTTGAAAGCAGAGATACGGTGTAATGGCCGATACAGTGAGCAGACTTCCTAACGGTAAATCGTGGAACTAAATTAAACCGAAAAAGTCTCTATTTATAATTTAAGAGTTGTGAAGTAAATAGTACTGTTAACTGCTAATATTAATTCGAAAGCCAGTCACAACTGAAATCTTATCGAGATTCTAATCTTTGGGAGAAAGAACCTTTAAATGAAAAACACACCCCTTTTTATATAAATGATTATCAACGTTTCTTCTTTTATTCTATGAATACAATTTCTATATAGCTTATATAAATTTAATAAAAATTTCAGCTTTAAAATATTTTTTTCTGACATTTTTTTAATATTTATAAATTAAACTTGTTTTGCATAAAGTATAATATATAACATTTAAAATGTTGATATTTTTATATTTTTTAAGTTTATTTTAGAATAATACGTACCTAACATACTAGTCTAGTAGTTAACACTTCAAGACCTACCTGCTCCTGAGAGCTTACTACATTTAAGCTTGTAAAAGCTACCAAGTTTTAGATAATATTTTTAAAATAAAATAAATATTATATATTACAATTTTTATATTAAAAAACAAAAAGAACTTACTTATGAATTTTTATCGACACTCCTCCCGAACTATTCCAGCCATTGACCGTTGAAAAGCGTCATATTCACCGCCAAAAAAACAAAACAATCATTAAATATTATTGTTTTTATTTTTCAGAAATTCAAGATTATTTAATTCCTTGTTGTCGCCAGTAATGTTTTTGTACGTAGTCATGTGTTCTTTAATGCTATGTGCCAGTGCATTTCAACTTACTGTAAGTACACTATAGAATTTGTAATTTTATTTATTAATATTATTAGTTAGTTAAATTTTAAATTAAAAAAAATTTTTTTATAACAAATACTTTCGTGCAGAATATGTATTAAGTACACTGCTACCAGCCAAACTATTAATGCAAGAAAGTTGATTTACAGATTATTATGTAGGTACCTATTATAATAATTGTAATTCGTTACACATTAATAGGTATATAGTCGCACTTATACCAGCGTTTATATTAATTTCAATAATTTTAGAATACTCCATTTTGTTGAATATAACTAAAAATTCAATCTTTTTTAGACTGCAACAACTACAAGCCAGAAACTTTTAATGGCTGAATACTTCGTTTTTGGCGTAGCACAACTTTTTATGTTTTGCTGGCACAGTAACGATGTTTTAGTCAAAGTAAGAAAAAATGTTATAAATTATTGTTAGTATTCAATAAATAGATAATTATGTGATTTATTATATTATTACAATTTTTTTCTAAATTTTTGTATATATAAAACCTTTTTAGAACAACGAAGTGATGCTTGGGCCGTATGAAAGCAAATGGTGGAAGGTAGGCTTGAAACAAAGAAAAAACATACTTATTCTGGTCGGGCAACTTAAAATAGTGCATACATATACCGCCGGTCCATTTACTAAACTAACATTACCTACTTTTGTTACTGTAAGTTTTATATATTTTTTTTATATTCATCATAATCATAGTAATCGACGTTTGATTTAAATTCAAAAAAATGAAAATCGACGAACTATGTCAAGTAGGGTATCGTTGAATAGGTATTTAAAAATCATTTTTAGGTCTCTTTCATCATTTTTTTATTTTAGTTTAGGATATATAATGATTTAAAGTTGGTTAACAACCATACTCGCTAATTATCCTATTTAAATCTAGTTGAAAAGCTATAAATAAATAGATATATTATAAAAATAAAAAACCCATTAAAACTAACTAAAAAGATGAAAACAAGTTCTCGAAGAAATATAGTATTATGCAGTTGGAGACATACATACGAGTATGTAAATACATCTCGCGGCAAGAATGAAATGTGTACTCTCGGAAAAATGTACAGTTCCCGTGGGATAGATTTGTTTCTGTCTAGGGACGAACCCGAAGCGAAGCGAGGATGAGTCGCTAGTATCGAATAAATTAGGAAAGGAATTTATGTATAAATATATTAATTTAAGAGCATTTTGGGACCGTTTTAATGTCGTTAATAAGTAGAACCATAAAAACAGTAGTTTCAGTATTTTTAACAGTATCCCTTTTTTTACAGATTTTGAAAGGAGCCTATAGCTACTATACACTTTTGAGAAAATAAATTCTACATGCACAATGCTCATTTGTTACTAATACGTCTACTAGAGACGAAGATGACACTTGAACTAAAAAAAAGCACAATTTCTTAACATACTTAGTTTAGTATTATTGTGAAATATTGGTGTTTGTAATAATAAATTGAGTTAGAAAATTAATTTCTTTTTTCTTTCCCTTATAAAATCTTTTCTTAAGCTGTACAGTGTACTTAATTATTATGGTGTGAAAGATAACAATATTTACTTTAATAAATTGTGTTAAAAATTAATTATTTAAATTAAAATTGTTCTTAGAGCTTCGCTGTTTACATAAAAGAACGGGGACATCTAATTTTTGACATCGTCACTATATTTTTGAGAGATGCGTTTGAGAGATGCATAATTAAATTATAAAGATTATACATAGCTTCTAGTCAAATACAAAATCCTTTTATGTAATTTAATTTTTCCAAGAATATACCATGTCCAGCATTTATTCCGTTAGGTAAAATATCTATACCTACATATAATAAAAATATTGTAACTAAGCCGAATTTGTACATAAAATATTTTTTTTGGAAAATCTTTTTGAAATAAACATTATTATCGATACCGAGGTCGAATCTATAGTTTTTAGATTTTTTTGTCTGTCTGTCTGTCTGTTACCGCATCACGGAAAAACTACTGGAGGGATTTTGATGAAATTTGGTATGGTGGTAGCGGGTTATCCGGGTCAACATATAGGATACTTTTTACCGCGGGAAAATATCTCATTTTTGAGAAAAATTACAAAAACTGCAATGTAAGTTACTAATATATGGCGATGGGTTGTCGACGCATTTGGCGTGAACGAAACTAGTTTCATTTTATTTCATCGACTAGTTGATTGATCAACTACTTCAATTCGTGGACTAAGGTTCACATTCCGCTTCCTACTTCAATGTGGTTGTAGACGCTAGACCGTCTATCCTATCTTTACTAGTTTATGTTGCGAGACGGAACGACTGATGAGTGTTTAAATTAGAATTTGTTAATTCGTAATTTCGTCATTTTATACTGAAAGAAAGAATTGGATATATTCTCAAAGATTTATATTAGTCTGTCTTTGTTAAGACAGAATTACAATGCTTTTTATCTGTGTAGTGCAGGTGTCGTCTGCAAGAAGTAGAATAAGGGTAGTGTTAGACAGTTAGATAATGTATGATTGACGTAGTGAGTGACGGAATTGTATTTGATGATTGAAGATTGTATGAAACTCTATCATTATTAATATGAAATACACATAAAGTGGTTTTTAGCTTTAAGATAAAAAAAAGAAATATATTTATTAATTTTTTTTCGAAATTTATCCCTTAAAGTAGAGGTAAAAGGGGGTAATAAAGTGTACATGGGCAAAAAATTCTTTATGATCAGAATTATTTGAAACTTGGTATTAATGCTCTTCAATACAATTAAATAAATATATGTTTTAGTATTTTTCGAAATTCAATCCCATAAGGGGGTAAAATGGGGAATGAAATTTTTTGCATGAAACTCTGTAATTAATATGTAAAAAAGTAGAAAAAATTAAAAAATATTCACCTGTAGATGATTTAATAGTTTTGAAATCACTTTCTGTAAAATGAGGTCCACATACCCTTAAATATAAAGATTGTGATTTCACCAATTTTGGTCGTCTTATTGCTTTAACCTAAAATTTATTCAGTTTTAGTCCTTAGGTAACAAATGGTATCCATTTTATTTACATCCTGGCACTACACAATATATCTTTTCAATAAAATTTTAAATAAAATGAAAATATCTATTTACGCTATAGAGCTTTGCAATATACTGAGGATCATAGTGATCGTGACATCTGGCGGAAGAAAAAAGCAAATTTCTTCCCCTTAACCTATTCGGTCTTAGGCTTTAGCTACACAGGTCAGGACTCAGGGTCACAGAGTAAAAAAATAGAAAAAAAAAAACAACCGCCTTTTGACATCTTTCTCTTTTACGGAAGTCTTTATCTTTATTTTCGAATTCGTTTCTATTTACAGGTTTATGATTTTAATATAAATATTTATAGATAAACGAAGAATAGGTAAACATATTGAGTGATAAACGTTTCATGTATTAAGTAAATCGTGTTTTGGCTGCGGCGTATGAGAGTTCAATAAACTTGTAAGTCAGTCGGTAGTGAGGCCTTTTAGAAATGTCATTATTGGTTATTGGTATTTATAGCGAATGTTTAGTGTATTTTAGCTAAATTTGTGTGTTCTTATAAGTGCTAAACGAACTAATGGATAACCCAAACCCTCAAGAAAGAACTGTTCCAATACAATATGTGCGTGGATCGAGAGCTTTCCGTCAATTTAAGAATCCACCCCAGCCTCATATGTGTATTCAGGATACAATAAAGGATACTACGGAAAAACTATACATAAATGTTCTGGGATGGCAAAAAATAGCAAATCCCAAGCAGTACTCTGATCCAATACCTTTGTATGGAGGAATGCAGGTAACTTATTCAAATGTTAAATGTACTTAGTGTCGGCGAAAATAAAATAATACGTTCATTTCTATTAAAAAATTCAGTGTCATTAATACTTATTCAATATAATTATTTTCTTTAATCAGGTGCATCAAGGGTGTGGGCCAAATAGTAATAGACCACCTCTACTAGTGTTTGCAGTTATGGTTAATCCTGACATACTTAAAGCAAATGGAAAAAATGCTTCAAATCCAACGGTAATAATGAAATATTCTTATTAGATGTTCTTAGTTTAATAAATTTATTATTTATATGTTTTGTGTGTACAAAATAAATTACTTTGTAATATAAAGGTTACAACATCTACAAATGAAAGATGACAATGGTTATGATACATTTTTATGTTGTGTTCAAAAGAACTTCATTGTTTATATACCACAAGGTCTTAGTATTTTCCTTCAACATTGCTATCATGATTCTTTGTTATTGCATTGCAAGTAAAGATCTTACAATCAGATATTTAAAATACATTTAAATGCTAATTAGAGAACACTTCTAAACTTATTAGGTATTCTTACTAATATTAAACTCAAAAGATTGTCTCCTATTCTTGTTCATTTATTTATTTTCTGACATGATTTTATTTTGGAAATAATTTGACTTAACTACACAAAATCACTTAGAGACCACATGGTCACATTCAGAAAATATAATATTGACTTACTAAATATAAAGTATTCCTCAATTCAATTCAATTAAATTTTCTTGTTGATGACTTCAAATTATGCCAGTTGAGCACAGATTACTTCACCAATGTCTAAAGTATTCTTTAAAATTGGAAATATATTGATAGGCTATTATTGACAATTCTTAATACAGGACCGTGAAGCACTAGTCAGCCTTCTCTGCGACTTTGTAGAGGCTATGAATCCAGGATTAATGCTTACCAGAAATCCAGTTATACTGAAAGATAGAGATCTGGCGGGCGAGTTAAAAGATGTGTGGCTCGCTGTTCAGAATAAGAGGGAGAGGGAGAAGGGACTTAATCAGGATGTTATGTATAAGGTATTGTTACTTTTTAATATTAAGTCTTTTCACAAAAATAAACTAAATAACTTTGTAATAAAAAAAATGCAAACAGAACTTGGGCCTAGAATTGTGAGATGCTATTGTTATATGTTTTTAAGCGAGCTTTTGTGGAATGCTATTATCTTGTATGACCTAAGTACAAATTTTCATTTCATTTCTTCTACATTCTCATTTCAAAGTCCGTTTTAGTCATGTTAGTACCATTCAAAGTTTTGTCTTTTCCACCCATGTTCAAACTAAAATACATAACAATACTGTCATGTTGTACAAAATCATTTAAATACAAAAGTCAATTATTGCTCGCACACTCACTCTGCACAGTTTAGATTTCTCAGAGATGAGATATTTTCCTGCAGTAAAAAGTATCCTATATGTTGACCTGGATAACCAGCTATCATCATACTAAATTTCATCAAAATCCCTCCAGTGGTTTTTCTGTGATGTGGTAACAGACAGACAGACAAAATGTTTAAAAAACATTAGATTTGGCCTCTATATCGATACTAATGTCTATTTCAATAAGATTTTCCAAAAAATATTTAATGTACAGATTCGGCTTAGTTAGAATTTTATTATATGTATAGGTTTATATTTATGTAATACATCTTAATATTAAAAGTTAATCTGTCAATGAGAGATTAACAGATATTATGAAGTACTAATCATTTCAAATGTCAAAATAAATTAAAAAATTTAGACGAATATTAGAGCCTAAAGAAGTTCAAGAGTAGTATCACATTTAATTGTTTTCATGTAATTGCATTTCGAGGCACCCAATAATACGGGTCTACTCCTAGTACAGGGGCCTTTGCAACAAGCTTATAATGTAATCTTTAAGTCAATAAAAGTATTTTTTTTTATTGTGTTATCCATACTAATATTATAAATGTGAAAGTGTGTTTGTTTGTATATCCTTGTTTTACGTCGAAACGGAGTGACGGATATAATCCACTTTTTACCGCGAGAGCCTACCTAATACCCACGGGAAAACACGTTATAAATTTATAATACAATCCAAAAAAATATTTATGATCAGAATTACTTGAAACTTGGTATTAATGCTCTTCAATAAAATTAAATAAATACGTGTTTTAGCATTTTTCGAAATTCAATCTATATGGGGGTAAAATAGGGTATGAAAGTTTGTTAGTTCTTAGTTTGGAAACTACCCTTTTTGAGACTTTTTTGTATTTTTAGCACGAGCGAAGCCGCGGTATGCCAAGAATACTAATTCTAAGTAATATCTTCAAGATATAACACTGACTGTAATTAGATTTACTTTAATTGTTCTTATAGTACTTCTTTTGGCTTCTTCTTATCAATTTACTGGAATTATTTATTATACATAAAAAGTAATTGTATTATTGATATTGTACACATTTTGCACTTAAAAACACAATATCGGCATAATTATACAATATAATTGGTAAATTCATTCATTCATTAGCATCTATATAGATGTTAATGAAACAATGAATGAATTATTGTATTTTAAATATTATTAATGTAGGCTTAACTTTATATTTATTATTATTGATCCAACAGACAGTCTTTTCCAATTTGTTTTTGTTTGTGATTCTTAAATTCATACAAAAACCAATAAAAAACAGTTCAGGTTTACGCCAGATTACAAAATTTTTCAGAAAACTTATTCAATTTTTTCTTATTATAAATATTTTTTTCTAAATCAAAAATTTGCCAAGTTTTACCTTTCACAATTAATGCACTAGCGAACGAACATCACTATATTTATATAGATTAATAACATAATTAATTGCAATATTTCAGGTCTACGACATCGACGGTATCGGCAACGAAGATATGAATGAAGACGACCAAGCTAATATTAAAAATGGCAAACAATTCGACAACGGCTCCCCAAATAGAATTTGCGATAAGAAAACCGTTAAATCATCTAAACAGATACTGAAAAATGCCGGACAAAAGTCCGAGTTCGATTCTGGGATGAACAATTGTCAATTGAACCAGAATAGTACTAGCAGAGAAAGCAGATGTGGGAGCACGGATGACACTACTTACTGTACACCAGTGTATGGACAGATAGTGTCAAGTAGGGAAAATCACAACCAAATAAATGATATACAACAGAAATTTTCTACTAATGAAATGACAAAGCCTTCAAGTTCATTCCGAAGTGCACCAACTCAAAAATCAACACAAGGATGGGACGAGTTCTCAAAACGAAATTTACCCAAAACGGATGATGCTAAAAAGAAAACTAAAAGTGATAAAAAAATGACAAACGGCAAATCACACTTTGATTTCTTCCCCGTCTTTGACAATAAAGCAGTGAACGACCCAGAAAATACTAAGCTAGAGGATATAACAAACGAAGATTCTAAAATAATTATAGATCCAATGCAGAAGTTAGTTCTGCACACGACTGATAATAAACTTTGTGATAATAAAAATAGTGCTCTCAGCTCATTTAGTTCGTAATTCAGTAGCTTATACAGTGTTTTTTGTATGGTATTGGCTTAAACGACGTGTATTTAAATGGTGGCTAGTCAATAGAGTGGTATAGATTTTTTTTTGCATGTGGATTGAGGATTCCAGCATTTGAAATCTCATTTTAGTATTGAAATTGTAAGTAATTTTGAGCTTTTTTTTTGAAATTGAAGTGTAAATTTCGTTTATTGATAAATGTAAGTTTGGTCGCCACACAGAGGTTGGTTTATAAATTCCCTTTTTTTAATATCTGAATTGTAGTCCCTTTGTGTGTTGAGAGAAAAAAAAACAGTTTTGTGTGCAGTGTGAACGATTAAGATATGATGGTTGTGTATTTTCATAATGTTTTATAAATGGTGGCCAACCCACTTATACCCTGAGCACTTATATATCTAGTAATTTTTGTACATTGCTATTATATATATAATTGTTGCCAATTTTATAAAGAAAATTTTTCAAAATTTGACAAATAATTAAATATTATTATTATTGCTCATTAAAATTTTAAATACGATGAGGGCTAAGAATAAAAAAATTCAGTATGATTAGTATATTGGAACATTTACATGACCAACACTATATATATGAATATTTTAATAAGCTAACAGATTATAATGAGATGCGAATAAATTTTTAATATGGTATCACCAAGATATCATTAAAACAAATTTTAATAATATTTTTATCTTACCAATAAATAAACATTTTTAATGTTACATCATAAAATATTTCAAATATGTTTAAACATTTGCATATTTATTTATTTTTTTATTACTTAGTATAAGATATTAGCCCTCATTGATAAAACGTTTTGGTTAGAAAGTTTTTGCTTATAATATGATCTCTTAATACTTATAGGTAAATTGTTATAAAGTTGTCACTTTGAATCCCACAATCGATCACTGCCAATGAAGCTTCATTCCCTTAACACTACACATTATCATTTCAAATATTATAATGTAAATTTCATATTAAAATTATAGGTTAAAATTTTGACTTTTAACATCCCTAACGATTACAATTTTATTAGTATAATAACAATTTGGAAACAATAACTCCTTATTATCTTTCTTTTTGTTCATTAAAATAGACATATATATTCAAAATCCCAGTTAATTCTTATGAATATGATATTTTATAACATATAGATATACACATTTTACATATACATGTCTTTGAGAGTCGAGTAGGTGCAGGTTCTATTTCAGGTTTTTATATGAAATCTACTTTATAATTATATTATTTTCTATAATCTCCAAACTTTATTATAAATAGTATTACTATGTGCTTGTTATATAGATCAGCGGTTCCCATTTTTTTTTGCCCACGGAAACCTAATTAATCATAATTTTTTTAATGGATCCCCATTTTGATTATAACAAAACTGATTGTGTTGTAGTTAGAATATTTTCTTGTTTGACTTTAAAGAACAAATTATAAATGTCAAATATTAATATTTATTGTACCAAAAATATAACCTAAGTATTTAATGTAAACAATGAATTTTTTTAAGCTTCATGTCTGACAAAGGACGGTACTCGGAGCTACTGTGACCCTTCCATGGAACCCTAGGGCTCCACGGACTACCATTTGGGAACTGCTGATATAGATTATAGAGATAGTTTACACAGATAATAATAAGTTTTATATTATGTGCAATTTGATTATTATTCTTTTATTACATTCACCTTTACATTTTTTATTTAATTTTTGTTTTCCATTTCATTGATATGTTTTTAACATTATAATGTCCCATATGTTTATTTTTTGTTCTACATTAAGATATAATATATAAGATATGTAAAGTGAATGTTTTCAAACTAATTATGATTATATTTTTTTGAACTCTTTTCAAATGTATATGTAATGATAGTTGATGATTGTAACTTATAAGAATGTTGTCTATTTAAACAATTATCAACGAACTAATGTAAACACCGATATAAAGAACAAAATATATTTAAATATTATCATTTTTCTGTGGCTGTATGTACTAATGTTTTTTTTATTGGCAACTTTTTGACACATTTGTAATCAGCTTTCAATTATTTTTTTTTATTTATGGGAATGTCGTTAAGCAATACGGTCTTATTGATTCACATTGAAAGATGTAAAAGGTTTTACCGTTGCCTTTTATAATAATATCAATATTTTTCGCGGATTTATTGATTTTTTAAAATCATTTTATAATTTTGTGAGTGCTCACTCTATAAAATCCTAATTGAGACGCCTAAAACCTTAGTCAATTCAGCGACCATTTCAAGTATCCGAAACGTCTGGAACCAAAAATCAAAATAAATCCGCGAAAAAATACAAAAAGGTACGTTTTATTTAAAATGTCAAAAATTTGCGTAAATCTAAGAAAGTGTTATAGCCTTTTTATTAATAAGGCCTACATCGAAGCACTGATATAACTAATCATTCCTTTTTATAAGAACAAATCGCTATGCAAGTTGAATCTTTTATTTTTTTTATTTCACTACACATTCATTTGATAATGATTTATGCATTTATATTTCAGTATATTTTTTTTTGATGTGGTACTTTTATAGTTTTTTAATTTGCATATTTTATTGAGTACTTTTTATTGTTTTAAATATAGCGTTAGTTATGAGTAGTCATGAAACGTGCAGTATCAAATTATTATGTTCCTTTGCAATAAGGATTAACTTTTTGCCACCAGTGAGGTTATAGTGGCGTTCATATAAATCAAACAAGTTGTCAAACTTGTACATAATTAGCGGTGATAAATTACTCTAATGGCTGTTTCTTACTGTATTTTATTTTACTATTTATTTATCAGTATTTATGCAGGAAATGTATTTACTTGCTGCTACTGTAATAACTATAATAACAAAAAAAAAACACTTGTGTCATCAAATGACATTACAAAGACTATACAGATGGTTATATTAAATTAACGTGCTTTTACATACATCAGCCATCTTATTTGAATGATAGAAAAGTGTAATAGTAGAAGATTCCGATCTATGTGGTGGACCCCTCACTCTTTTTCCAGACGATTTTTTTTTTAACCATAAAACATTAACTAAAACGACCCAGGGGTGTTGTCACCAATAAATTTGGTATTTTTAATTTAATTTTTTTTTAAAGTACAAGAACTATTATCCTGTGCAAATTAGTATCAGTGGAATGTAAAAGACTTGGAGAGTGCCATCATATATTGTAATGCTGATATCCAGGTATAAACAGGTAAATTGAAGTAGATAAGTGCTCGTATCGTTTTCTGGAACGAATCAAGTATTAAAATGTAGATAATTTTATAACACATTTAATGATAAAGGGTTGTCATATCAAAACATCTCCAGACTAGATTTTTAGTAAAAAATAGCCTGGACCAAATCTTTGGGGACAACTCCCCTGGGTCGTGTTTGTTAATGTTTTATGGTATAAAATATATATTTTGTCTGGAACAAGAATGAGGGATCCACCACATTGATCGGTGTCTTAGACTACAAATACTATACAATTTTTGTTTGTAATTATGGTGTACAAGCCCACTAGCCAGATTGTAAAATCCTTTTTCGCTAAATTAAAATTAATTGTATCTATTTACAATTATTGATTATAGCACTTCTGTTTTTCTTATCGAAGTCAATGAAGCCAGTGTTGCCACACCTGGTGAGCATAAATTTTAGTCCTTATTATAAGCTTTTATAAGTATAGATTTTATGAATGATTTTTAGCTGACGTAAATATGTAGCTAGTCCTGTATTTGCAATATATTACAATAGCATTTATTCGTTTATTAACATATTGTAGCCGTTATGGTAAATTCTATAGATCTATTATGTATCCAGACGCATGCTGTTTTATAATTTAAAAAAAAAAGTACCGAAAATATTTTCGTGTTGTTCAAACCCCTAGGACATGGTAACATTTGTACATTGTACCGTAAAGATATAAAGGAATTAAATATCGGATCTCTTGTTTACCTGCAGTATTTAAAATTACATGTCATTTACAAGACTGGTTCAGTTGTTTTATTTTTGTCTTCCTTAGTGTTTGCTTCGTTTGGACTTGACGTGATATTGAATTGTATTTATTACTCGCTATTTATCATCGCTATTTATCATCAAATTTTTTTGTGTGGAATCATAATATTCTTTTTCTATACTAATATTATAAAGAGGTAAAGTTTGTCAGATTGTAAGTTTGTGACGTTGTAGGGTGTAATCTCTAGATCTACTGAACCGATTTTGAAAATTCTTTTACCGATAGAAAGCCACGTTATTTCTGAGTGTCATGTCATATAATATTAACCCGAAGAATGAAGAGACTGTTTCATAGTAGTCGGATTTGCAAAGTATGTTGGAGAAAAAACGGTCGAACCTTACCGATGAGACTACTTTAACGATGAGAGATATATGATTATGTTCTAGAGAAAATTTGTAGAACTTAATAATGCCTACAAAAAAGTCAGCGACAGCATATGTCTAACTTTTATATTTAAGTCACAAAAACCAGTTAATAAAAAAAAAAAAAAATTAAATTGGTAGGTCATGTTTATTGGTCATATTATCAACAATTATGAATTCTTATCAAAATAAGTAAATTTATCGTCTAAAATGTTTAAAACAAAAGAGTTTTCTCTTTTACTGCGTATAATTTGGACAAATGGTTAAAGAGATAACACGACATACTCGTAGCATGAACGAATCTCTAATTCGTTCATGACTCGTTGGTATGGAACCGCGACCGTGTCGTAATCTATTGAGTGATATTTCTATAAAGATGGTTTATTTCATATACAATACGTCAATCTATCTATACTAATATTATAAAGAGGTAAAGTTTATGAGTTCGTGACGTTGTAGAGGGTAATATCTGGATCTACTAAACCGATTTAGTTGAAATTCGGTAAGAAGATAGTTTGCGAACCTAGGAAGGACATATGATACTTTATATCCCGGAAATAACCCCTAAGGGGGTGAAAATGGGGATGATAGTTTGTATGGGGAAGCAAAAGTTTGTATGGAGAACCCGAGCGAAGCGAGGGTGAGTCGTTAGTCTAAAATAAAAGTAGCCTTAGTTACTCCATAGCATCAAACGTTAAGTATATTTTTGTTATGATTTGCGTTCTTTGTTACGTGGAAATAAAATACATTATTTATCCATCTCCAAAATTTAAGTATTGGGTTTATAGCTTAATCGTCAATACGACTTTGGAAGCATATAACGTTCCAAGTTGCAACTATTGGCTAAAATAAAACAATATACAAGATACTTAACGCTTATGTAGGTTTATTTTTGTTTCTCCTTATCTTCATGTATAGTCTTTAAAATGGCTGTGATATTCAGACAGGTAGACATGCCGAAAGTAGGTACAAGGCGGGTTACGGAACCCTCAAAAGTCCCATTAAAGTTCGTCCTTTACAAATGATAAAAAAAATTTAAGTTTGCACCATACAGATTTACAATGCCTAAGCTTATTTACTATGATTAAAAATATTTAAACTCAAGGAATTTATTTTATTCAATCCAAAATAAGTCTAGATTTTAGTAGGTTTTTTTATAAAACAATTCGACAATATATGGATCCACGCCATCTATCGTTACGCAAATAAAAATAACTCGAAAGTTTGAAATAGGACCGCCCAATGGAGAAGAATTTTGCTATATTCTTCCGCTAGATGTCACGATTACTATGATCCTCAGTATATTGTAAAGCTATAGCGTGGATGATTTTTTTTTATTTTAATTAAAATCACAAATCACATAACATCACAAATTGTGCAGTGCCGGGATGCAAAGTAAATCGATATAATTTGTTCCCAAAAGAAAAAAGTGAAGAAATTGAGGGCTAAAGCAATAAGACGACCAAAATTGGTGAAATAACAATTTTTATATTTAAGGCTATGTGGATTTCTTTATCAAGTTTTAAGTTATTGTCCTCATGAATAATTCTTCGCCCATATAAAGTTTATTATAAATTTAAATTTCTTGAAAGGAGAGCGCCAAACCTATGGCCTAATTACATTCAGTCTGAGGTTAAGCATTTTATTGGGATATCTCTTTTATACCTGGTTTTTTTCCTTCTATTGTGTTCGCATCTTACCTGTGCAATGTATTATATCTGGAAGTTAGACTAGCTGAAGGAAGAATTGATAAAACAACCGAACCAGTCTTGTAAACGACATGTAATTTTAAAGTAAAACAAACGTGTAAACAAGAAATCCGATATTTAATTCCTTTATATTCATACGGTACAATGTACAAATGTTACCATGTCCTAGGGGTTTGAATAAGAGGTGCATCCTGCGGTGGTACTGACTGACTGATGGATCACACAGCCTAAACCGCTAGTCGTGGAAACGTGAAATTTGGAGGACGTATTCCTTTTAATATGATGTAGGCATCCATTAAGAAAGAATTTTTTGAAATTCATTCCCTAAGTAAGTAAAATAGGGAATTATCAGAAAGTGCTGTTTGGCTTTAAGATAACAAATAAGAAATATATTTATTTCAGTTTTTCGAATATTATCGACAAAAAAAATATTCACGTGTACACGATTTTAGAGTTAGAGACATTAAATATAAAGATTTGGATTTCGTAAATTTTGGTCATCTTATTGCTTTAGTCCACAATTTCTTCAGTTTTTATCTTTTGGCAAAAACTGATAACTATTTTCTTTGCATATTGGTACTTCACAATTTGTCATTTTCATTAAATTTTAAATAAAATGAAAAAGAATATCCATTAACCAGAGCTTTACAATATACTGAGGGCCATAGTGATCGTGACATCCGGCGGGAGAAAAAGACAAAATTTGTCCCCATTTTAATTATTCATTCTATGGAAATACAACTTCACCCGCGTTTTTAACTTTTGCTTAAAAGTTGGGAGCTCCCTGCTCAGCTCAGAAAACAAACGTGAAACTTCAAATTCAAAGAGCACTTTGTTAGGAGTATTTGTGTTCTGTGGTGAGCAGTTGAGCACTTTTTATTCAAATTTAAACAAGGCACCGATTGTCAACGAACTTTATTAATGTTAAATATAAATACTATAAGTAATTAATGACTTTTTAAAATATAAATAGTGCAGTTCTTACTTCTTAGCTTATTGAGTGATTACTACAATCAGATTCTACTATGTCTAAAAGAGAAATGAGTATTGGTCAGTTGTAACTAACATTAACTTATTCTTCTGTTAAACTTTGTCGTATTCTTAAACTCATATTATTTCATTTTCAGGTAGCCGTAAAAATAAAACTCGTAGTGCACGCTCAGGCCTTACATTTCCTGTGGGCAGGATTCACAGAATCCTTCGTAACGGTAAATTTGCGCCTCGAGTCGGTTGCGGTGCCGCGGTTTACCTTGCGGCTGTTTTGGAATATCTCTCTGCGGAAATTTTAGAGCTAGCTGCAAAAGCTGCTGAGGATAATGGCAGATCGAGGTAAATATTGTTTGCATATAATATTATATTTGTTATCAAAATGGTAAAAGTAGTAGTTCTGCAACCAATAAACCTCGCGAGCACAAATTGCATTTTGAGGAGCTATTCCGCCCATCTCGTCGATGATCCTCATCAGAACTACACCAATTTTTTACGAGACCAATTTAAAGTTTCTTCTCAAATAAAAAAGCACCATCCAAATCAAGTCTCATAAGGCGTACATATCCAGCCTTCTTTTTGCTTCTTGGAGAAAGTGCCCCTCCAATTAAAAATTTGCATAGTCTTAAAACCTCTATACCCAGATTCGTCCAGATCGGTTGTAAAATACGACCTGTAGAGGGGTACCAGCAAACTGATAGAGGAAACAAATTTTGACAGATTTCAAGCAGAGACACTTCACTCCCTTGGTCAATTATTTTCATTTCAATATTTAAATTTACTAGCAAGGAAAAGTGCAGTTAGTATTCTATTACATGAGTAACTAATAATACATTGAGAATTATATTTAAATAATATTAAGTACCAGTATTGCCCTGACTCCCCCTGCTTTCAGATAACCAAAAACCAAATTTGTAGGTTTTACAGATTAGTAACTTTTGTTTTTGCTTTTTTTTAGGTAGAAAGTATAGGTAAAAAGTATCCTATATGTTGACCCGGATAACCAGCTATCACCATACCAAATTTCATCAGTGGTTTTTTCCGTGATGCGGTAACAGATTGACAGACAGACAGACAGACAAAAATTCTAAAATTTATAGATTCGGTCTCTGTATATATAATAATGTTTATTTTAATAAGATTTTCCAAAAAATATTTAATGTACAGATTTGGCTTAGTTACAATTTTATTATATGTATAGATTCATGTTTAAAAACGCTTTTACTAAGTTTTTATTCATTCTTTTTATTGTCATTTTATTTTACAGAATATCACCCAGGCATATAATGTTGGCAATTAGCAATGATGATGAACTTGACAAAATGTTACATGGTGTGACAATAGCACAAGGAGGAGTTATGCCCAAGATATTGCATCAGTTACTACCTATAAAGACAGGGAAGAAAGGCCATGGCATTGATAAAAATAATGGTTTTTCACAAGAATATTAATTGTGACTCTGTAAAATTTATATTTAAGTTTGTTTGGAAGGACTATAGAATCGATACCTATAATAACTGTGAAATTGTTTAAACCAAATAAAATATTGAGAATTTTCAAATAAAAATTAAAATACGCGTCAACATTTGCAAAATTAAAACGCGTAATTTAAACCCTAAAATGGCAACACTTCTGTCAAAATTACGTCAAAAGCAATAAAATAGTGCAGAATTGAAGTTATATTTATCAAACTTTGATACTTTTTATCTCCGAAAGTATTTATTTCCTCCACTTGAAATTTTGTGGGATTACTCAAGATAATAAGTACTTGGCACAAAAAAAATCAAGAGTCTACTAGAGGACTGTTTATAAAAGACGAGCCGTTTGTTTTTAATTTGTTCTTATCTTTTTTATGTTTTTTTTTGTTTGAATTAGGATTTCTTAAAAATTGATATGTGAAATTAATGCTACTAATAAAATTAGAAAGAGGCAACTCAAACATTTTTTATTATGTTCTGTAAGAGTTGAAGAGTTTTGTTGTTGTTTGGATTCCTTAGCAAAACATTGTTATTTAAGCTTGTGTAAAAATGTCAATTTTTTTAAATTAGTTTCTGCTTTGTTCTATTATAAATATATTATTATTTATCTATGTTCATGTCTTGTGCTATGCATTTTTAGGTAGCTTTTAATCTTATCTTTTAGTCCTTATTCCTATATTGTTTTGGTTTTAAGATTTATGGGTCTTTTATTTTTGCTCTATGCTTGCTGTAAGATGCTTGAATGTATATTTTAAAGTATTCTTAATTTCTTCTTAAATCTATATATCATAAGATTGACATAAGTCAAATATTGCAAAACAAAATTGTAATTTTAATAATAACTGACTAATAAAAGCTATAAAAATAAAATTAATTTTTCTATACCATAATTCCAAAATAGATGAAATGAATAAGTTTACAATGCATTTTAAACAAAGTAACATATTATGGCATACTATTAAGCCTCTTAACTACATGCGGTGCTGGGCCATAAATAGGTATTTAGTATTTCGTTTTTGCAATGAGCTTTAATATTACATATTTTTAATGGGTTTATACCAAAAGTACATCTGCCAAAAAGAAATTCATCTTTTTTTCGTTTGCTACTTGAAAGGCGATTTTTTTTCGACTTAATAATTAATTCCATCTTTTAACTGATTGAATAAGAATTTTGCCTTATTAGCTGAACTATTGCACGGTGCCCGCGGTTATTCAGTTATTGGTTCGACAATCGAGAACGAATCTCGAATCGAGATTCTATATTCGAGAGTCGAGACCTGCAAAGTTTGTATAAGCAGACGATTTACTTGCTCCCAAGATAAAGATTTTAATTTTATAACAAGTTGTTATATACTAAATTAAATGAAACTGAAATGAATTTCTTATATTGATAGACTGCAAAGGCACATAGAAACTGGAATATAATGTTGAATTCTGGCTAACTTTATTTATCTGTCGTTGTTAGTCTGGCTACACTGCGCCACAGGTTCAAAACAAACATGCCGGAATTGTGCAACCCATGTGTCAACGTCGGCGATGCCGGAATCTAGTTATGCTAGACTTATAGCCTTATATATTTGTAATATTTCCAGTAACTTAATAAGTTATGAATAAATATAAAATTATAAGTTAGCAATTCAAAATATCGCTATTTTGCTCCTATAAGGTAGAATTAGAAAACATTATCTTTGATCGGTGTCTAGTGTTATTTTGATAGTATACATTATAACCAAAAGTATTGACAAAAACTAGGTTATTTTAGTGTAAAATAAAATGAATAATAATTGGAATCGTAACAACATGCGCGGTTCCTATAGAGGAGGAGGTGGACGTGGGTATGGAAGAGGGAGGGGCTCTGGTGGTTTCTGGCCTTCTAGAGGCTTCAGAGGATCAAATTCCCGCTTTGATCGAGGTGGTAGGAGTGGTCAGAACATCGATAGAAACGTTAGTAATCAGTGGAAACCTAGACCTAAACCTGAAGCACCTTCTAAAAGGCTTTCTGAAAAAGACATTTTCGTTACGGAGTATGTCAGTGATCATGAAGGTTTTAATGGAATTATTAAATCCAGGTATGATTTTCTTGTAATATTATTTTTCAGATTAGACAAGACTAAAACTTCAATATTATTTTAAAACCATATAAAAATCATAGGTTAACTATAAATTAATGTAGAAATTATAAAATTAAGAAAATGCTTGTTATAGATTCTCAGATTTTCAAGTCTCCGAAATAAATTTGAAGGGGGAAGTTGCAAAATTAACTGATCTTTCACCACCTGAGGCTGCAAAGGAGGATAATGAAGTGGAAGATGATGAAGACCTCCTTTTTAAAAAATACAATCTTGAAATATTGCCTATGGAAACTTGGGATAAAATCAACAAATTGGCAATTGCTATTGATTCATCATCTTTGGAGAAAGTCGAAGTAATTTGACATTTGTATTTAATATTTTAACCATTTTATTACTGGCCAGGTTCAGTCCTATTTTTCAGGGGATTCTCTTGATGGGATAAAAGATTCTTTTGGCCCATTTTTTTCCATATGGTTAAAGTCATGTCAATTCATTTCAATGCATCAAGGAAAAATAAATCAAAAAATACTTTTGTATTGAAATGACCTATAGACATGTACAGGATATAAAATTAAAGCTTGAATTGTGTCACATTACACAAAGTATATAAATATTTACTTATAAGTTTAAAAAACTATAATTACACAAAGAATAATAACAGCAATACTATATGGCAATTATTATTTACAAAATTTCTAACTAAAACAAATGGAATATTTTATTCTTATATGATAAATGTGGCCATTCAATACTGGAAGGTGGATTTTTTTTTTATCTTTTTAACTAAAATATTAAATATACAAAAAAATCCTGAAGATCCAGAACCTATACGAAAAAAAAAGAATTGATAAACAAACATTTTATTTATATGTAACTTACAATTTTTTTTTATTTGAATTTAATTTTAATATAAACATTATTTTCAAATATTTCTTCCTACTAATATTATAAATGCGAAAATGTGAGGATGTGTGGATGTCTGGATGTATATATAGATGTATGAATGTTTGTTACTCTTTCATTCAAAAACTACTTAATGGATTTTAATAAAACTGTATAATAATATTCCTGTGGGAAAAATTTGTTTTTGTTTTTCAGGTAAACCCAAGCGTTGAGGGTAGCCGGTAGTTACACAATATAGAGCCATATAAATTTTAATGGAAGAAAAAATCTTTTTCAGATAGATGTTACGGGTATGACAAAGCAAGAAAGGACTAAAATACATGATGCAGTGAAGAAGGCATTTGGTGAAAGCATTGTCGGTAGCACTGTCACTGTTGATGATAAAAAGTTTGTGACTTTCGATAAATATAGGAAAGGAGGTTTGTTATGATTTTTGGTTGTATATAGATTGAATGTTGATGTATTTTTTTGATACAACTCAGTAATAAATTTATTTAATTTTCAAATAAAGATAAAAATAATTATAATTATTGGTAATAATTATTTTATGATATCTATACATCTATGAACAAAACAAAAAATATATAATCGAGATATCGAAAAGTTTTATTCTTATTGTTTGTTTAAATTTTTAAAAATATATCAAAGAAACCGTAAAAATTATTTTTTTCGATTTTTCAATATTGATATCTCGAAAACTAAGCGAGAAGTCGAGATCTATACAAATGCGCCTTCAAATCGTGGCGGCGCCGTAAGAACTGTAATCTTGCTAGCTCGTTAAGAAGTAATGTGATAAATAATCTCCTTGTTTATATTTTCATACAATGTATTTCAGTGCGCATCGACAACAGGGTGAAGTGGATATGGCCGGGCGAATACGTACATTTCATTTTGTACAAACAGAACTTCGACACCATGGAGGCTGCCTCACGTATCGCAGAGCGACTCAGACTTACGTAAGGAATAATTGGGATTATTATAAAATCTTTGTTTCAAATAAATCATTCAGAGAACGAATGATTTATTTTTTAACTAGCGACTCACCCTCGCTCCGCTCGCGTTTGTCTGGTACGTTTTAACGGTAAGTATAGATTTCTCAGGAAGAGATATTTTCCCACAGTAAAAAGTATCTTATGCTCGGGATAACCAGCTATCATCATACCAAATTTTACCCAAATCTGTCCAGTGGTTTTCTCATGATTCGCTCCCAGAGAGACAGACAAATTCTAAAAATATAGATTCGTCCTCTGTATCGATAATAATGACTATTACAATAAGATTTTCCAAAAAATATTTATTGTACAGATTCGACTCGATTAGAAACTTATTATATGTATAGAATACGAGTATTTTATTTACTATACTGTATATAATTAGTACTTTTCTTTTAAAAGTTTGTTTGCGGCGAGTCGTAGATTCAAAATTATTAATGAATGAATAACCCTTTTATCCTCCTTTGTTCTAATTTATATATCATTGCTGTTTTTTACCTTTCCCTTAGTTATAGTATAATCTCGGAGTTGAGTGTGCCTCTTGGCAAAAGGATACGATTTCAATTATTGTCTGTTTTTTGCAACTTTTTTCCATTTTGGAGTCGCTGTGATTTTTAATTCATCCTCCCATCTTTTACTTTGTTGACCCTAATTTTGTTTACCACTTGGTCGAATGGAGCAAAACTCTAATACAATGATACCCTAAAAGTGGAAAACAAGATTCAAAATTATCGTTGGGAATAATATTTAAAACAGAATTAAAGAAAATTATGAAAAATAAAATAAACTAGTGTTGTCACTCCATACAAATCATTTAGGGGCGAATAAAAGGTATTTTTGTTTCAGTATAAGACCTAGTATGCTTGGTTATTCTGGCACCAAAGACCGAAGAGCAAAGACTTCTCAGTGGTTTAGTTTGAGGAAGGTGGACCCGAGAAAAATAGCTCAATGCAACGACTTGAGGGACATTAAAGTGGGCAACTACAGCTTTGCAGATCATCCACTGAAATTGGGAATGTTGAAGGGCAATGTGTGAGTACTGAGTAGATAATCCTTTATTTGAGGAATTTTTTGGGGACGTGTATATTGTATTCTCTTTTAGATACAGCTTATTTATTCTATCTATATTATTATTATTATAAAGAGAAAAGATTTTTTTGTTTGTTGTTTGTTTGTTTGTACCGAATTAGCTCTGGAACTGCTGAAACGATTTAGATGAAATTTGGTTAGAAGATAGTTTGAGGCCTTGGGAAGGTTGTATGGGGTAGCAATTTAGGAACGAACTCGATCGAAGTGAGGAAGAGCCGATAGTATTATATAATCAAATTAAAACATACTACAAATATTCAATTCAATTTTCTTGTTAATGTCTTCAAAACGTGTCAGTTGAGCACAGATTACATCACCAACAATTATCGACAATTTCCAGGTTCAGGATCTGTTTGCGCAACGTGACGGCGTCGGACGAGTGCGTGGACAACGCGTGCTCGCTGCTGGAGAAGAACGGCTTCATCAACTACTACGGCCTGCAGCGGTTTGGCACCCGCGTCGAGGTGCCCACCTACGAGATCGGCAGGAAGCTGTTGCAGGGGAAGTTTAGAGAGGTCACTTTTGTTATTTATATACTATGGGATCGCAGACTTAGGAAGTATATAGGCAGTGTACTAAATTTACCTATACACAAATTCACACCCATCCACACGTATACACACACTCTGAGTCCTCACCAAACTCCCAAGATCGGTCAATCTCACTGAGATTAGCCATCTGCGTAAGATAATTTATAGTGCAGCGCGTGTGTGTGTACGCGCAGACACAACTTGCACTCTCTATTTCTGTCACTCTCATACTCCTGGGAGGAAATTTGAGACGATTCAACCCGATCGGTGAAAGATCAGGTGCTGGACAGACGCCATCTTTCCAAATCATGGCTGTTATTAAAAATATGTTTTCAGAAACCCTATACTATACTTGATCTGAGCCACAACTCGAAACCAGGACCTTCGGTTTTGCAGCCGTATATGCTAACCACACAATCTGACACACACTTTCGCATTCATAATGGTAGTAGTCCAATATATAAGTAAATTCTTTTAAAACGCATAATCTAACATGGAATAATCATGTCGGCGACGCATGAACTCACACGAAAGAAGCGCGACAGTTTATAAACACTGAGTTTCGGCGCGGCCCTAGGTTTGGTTGGTTTTTGGCCGAAACAAAAATTATAGTTGAATCTAGATTTTTTAGCCAAAATTGGCTGAAACGGAAACAGAATATTCGGTCGGTCATTAGTTGTAGATGTTTCAAAGGCCTCTCTCTCTCTATGTAAATTATTATGGTCGGTACCTACCCATAAAATTACGTATGTAATGATTTTCAAAAATACTTTTGGTGCTATTTTGGTGTTTTAAATTTGAAAAGATAGTTTTATTCGTATTTTCGTCGGCGTGGCAGGCCATCAACGCGATCCTGGGCACGGCGGAGTGGCGCGGGCTGCGGCCGCACGCGCACTCGCCCGAGGCGCGCTTGCTGCGCGTGCTGACGCCGCGCCCCAACGACCTGCTCTCCGCGCTCGACAAGGTACGCGCGGGGCGGCCTATGGGTTATGTATTATTATTTTACTTTATTAGTTAATATTATAACTATATAATGTTAACTAATTATTATCCACGGTAACGTCCGCTTGATAGTTTAGTCACTTTTATTTTATTTTTATTTATTTACTAGATTAATGAATAACGATTACAATGCTATATAAAATAGTTTAATACAATATTTCTTATGTCTATATCTATCTATATTCTATCTTTAAAGTTAAATAATAAAATAAAAAATAATAATTTTATAAAATACATACAAAAGCTTGCAATAATATTTAATATATGAATATATATATATATATATATATATATATATATATATATATATATATATATATATATATATATATATATATATATATATATATATATATATATATGAATATATATATATATATATATATATATATATATTTAAGTTTATAACGTGATGTAAGTCTAACAAAGACGTGTACGGTCGGCCGCCAGCTGCCGCGCAACTCGCGGCTGCTGTACCTGCACGCGTACCAGTCGCTGGTGTGGAACCGCGTGGCGTCGCGGCGCCTGGCGGCCGGCGGGCTGCCGCGCGCGCCCGTGCCCGGCGACCTCGTCGCGCTGCACGACCTCGACGACCTCGACGACCTCGACGGTGAGTACATACGTATACAGGGTTATATATTTATTATCTATAGTTGATTATAGTCTATGTCGCCCTGCTCTGGTCTATCTCTCTCTTTGGCTCGCCATGCTATCGGATATACATCTCGAATCTTGTAAAATATATAATTAAAATAAAAATACGTAATAAATTAAAATGAAATATACATAAAATAACCATGTTTTACAATTTTCGTATCTAAATATACGATCTAGCAGCCCAAAATGCAATTGCTGACGCGCACACTCACGCATTCAAGCACGCCCACATGCACAGATGTGTACGCACATATTTATACTGTATGTACTCAAATATTCATAAACATACACATTCATGTGCGCACACATGCACCTACATCATCATAACACAATATTATAAATTATTATTAAGGTCTCTGTTACACTTAGTTTATATTTATTCAAGCTAATCTCAGAAACAAATGTATGGTTTTTTATAAATTTTCCGTGAATAAAAGACGAATATATTGCGAAAATAAAGTGTGAGCTTAATTAAATGCGAAGCCCACAGATGCTGAGGCTAATATTTAAGATTCCTTTAAAGTACCTTTTTATATGTTATGCCTGATGCCATAAGTTATATATGGAAACTATTTAAAAAAAATGTGCCATGGGTTCAAGTCCCGCTGGGAGCATTTATTTGTGCGACGGACACGAATGTATGTACTCCAGTTGTGTCTATATTTTTAATATTTATGTATTTAAAGTTATATGTGTAGTATATCAACTATTTGGTATCCATAACACAAGCCTCGTAGCTTACCATGGAACTAGATGGTGCTGTGTGTTAATTCCCCAACATATTCATTTTTTATTATTATTATATATTTCAGATGATATTGACGAACACTCAGACGAAGAGGATGAAGAAAACGAGGAAACAGATAAAAAAGAAACAGAACAGAAAAAGAAAGAGAAGAAAATACAAGAGGAGAAGAAGAAGCAGATAGCAGTGAAAGTCGTCACTCAAGGCGATATAGATAATAATAGTTTCACGATTTTCGATATAGTGTTGCCGTTGCCCGGACACAGCGTTATATACCCGCCAAATATGAAGGATTTCTATGAAAGTGTATTGGCGGAGGATGGCTTGACATTGGATATGAAACATAAGTATAAGTGAGTTTGGTGTTGTGTTTGTTTATTATAATCATACTATTGGGCATAAGCCCCCCCCCTTTGATACGAGGGGGAACAGGCCATAGTCCACCACGTCTTTTGAAAACTTGCTAGGTTCTCTCAGATATGCAGATTTCCTCAAATGTTTTCCTTTGAGGTGAATTCGATATGAACAATTCAAATTAAATACTTCTACATAAAAAGCTGTGCATACTTTTAAATGAAATTTATATATATATATATATATATATATATATATATATATATATATATATATAACAATATAATATAATATATTATTATTATGTTAAAGTCATGTTTTATGTAAATTTAGTTGGTAAGCCTTTATAATTTATACAGATAAATAAAATGGAAGTGTCTACTGTGTGACACTGTGTGTGTAACTGAGGCTACTTTTATTTCAGTAATAGAATTAGGGTTTCGCTCAAAAAAAAAAACTTACCTAGGGACGAACCCGAGCGAAGCGAGCGTGAGTCGTTAGTAAATATAAATAAATAAGAGCATATCGTCGACCGTCCGTGCCGCAGGAAGTACTCGCTGGCGGGCGGCTACCGGCGCGTGGTGGTGGCGCCGTGCGGCGTGCGCTGGCGGCCGGCGCGCTACCGCGACCCGCGCGCCGACCTGCTGCTCTCCGACCTCGACCGCCTGCGCGGCGCCGCCGACGCGGACGCCGGCCTCGTGGAAGGTACACGCACGCACACATACACACGTACTCACAGGGACGCGTGCGCTGTGCGTGGTGAGGGTTACATACACATATACGCACACACAAGTACATACATACGTATACGTTTGTGTACGATGACGCATACATACACAATTAATAATATGTTCCTAACCGATTTCGGGTACGGCAGTGAATTTCACTTAACACATGTGCATAGACGATATACACAAGTGTATGCGTGGACATAATGCATGCATTCCGTCCCTTTTGCTAACAATATTATCTTTGAAAGACTGATTATACTCGGAGACTAATATGATTATTTTTAACGAACTTCAAACATAGAAGGTTATTTCTTTTCTAAATTTAATTTGAATTATTAATTATTAATTAATGATTATTCTTTAATTATATTATATTCACAGATATGCATATAATTAATAACATCAAGTTATTACATATGAATTATGATAAATCTAATATCTAACTTATTTGTGATTCACATAATACTTTCTTAGATTTACGCGAATATTTGACATTTTGTTCATTTATTTGTGATTATCATTTTGAAAACCAAACTGACACCGTAAACCATTAAATAAATTAGAATTTAATTTGAATAATTTCCATTACAGATGGCCCATATAAGGCGTTACTACTCACAATGTCGCTACCCACAAGTTGCTATGCGACCATGGCGTTACGAGAATTGCTAAGAGTGGATACTTCCTGTGATAATCAAGCTTCGCAGAATGATTATCACAAAACCGATAAAAGGATTCGGAGGAGAAGAAATAATAGCAATAGAAGTAACAAGTCTGATAGTAACATTAAACAGAGTGATAGTAACATTGATGATCGTGATAGTAACATTAATGATCATGATGGTAACATTGATGATCATGATAGTAACTCTGATCACCGTGATAGTAGCTATGATCGAAGTGAAAGCATCGAAGAGAGTGCAGGAGATAAAAGGAAGATAAGTGACACTGATGAAGCAGTTGATAGTAAGAAAACTAAACAAGATGGTTAAATAAATGCATCGTTTTGATTTTGTTGTTGTTATTTATTTCTATGGCCAGTTTTTTGTTTGTTTTATTTTCATTAAATTTTAAAATATAGTGATTGATTGATGACTTTTGATAATTTTAAATTAGGGGAAAATATGTTGTTTAAGATATATCTAACAAAAGTTTTTATTCCTTTTTGTCTGTGTGTTTTCAAAGGCCTTGAAGGGTTTCAATGGTAATGTTAACTTTTATAAACAATATATAAATTAAAAAAAAGATACATAGTATATAAAGATACATATAATTAATTAAATTTTATTTTATTGTAATTTATTTTTTAATACAACTTCGCTTCGCTCGGCTCATTACATGAGTGTTGACTTTTATACGTGGAAGTTACTCCTTATAACATCAGCTATCGGCTAGTGAAAGTCCCGTCGAAATCGGTCCAGTCATTTCGAAGATTACCCGGAACAAACAGACAAAACTTAAAAACTGTTTTTTTGTTATAAGTAGGTACCTTTTTAAATGCATTTAATAAAAAGCTGTTATTTTGACATAACAAACAGACACTTTAATTTTATTTATTGGTATAGATGTAATAAAGTTTTGAAAATCGATTTCAATTTACTTACCTGTCGTATCGATTTTAAATTTTGTGATTATGTGAGATCAAGAAGTTAATATATATAATATATATTGAAACAACAGTAATATCAATCTTTTATTGACCATTATAAGTTTTCGTATAGCGATAACGATTTTGGCTAACAGTAACGGGCCATATATCGTGTTTATGTTTGCCGATGTGGTCATTGTGTCGATTTTGCCCAGTATGAGAGTTGATGTGGGCTCGGAGTTCCCCAGGCGTGGGGAACGAGCGTGGGCACCATATACATTTGTGGGGCTTGTTCTGAAAATAGGGGTTACGGGTAAACTTCAAAAGGGTAATAGGGGTACCTACAGTTTAGGTTAAATAGTTTAATTGTAAGTAAAATATTGAGTAACTGACCCATATGTAGTAGTGTAATATAATTGTACCTTTGTATGCGTCATCCGATGGTAGTACAGGTTTGAACTGGCGGTAAAGCACTTGCCACACTCCGGACACTTGTGTGGTTTTTCACCTGTGTACAAGTTACAGGTATAGCAGTAGTTCAGTGATTACGCGCTCTCTTGGAAAACTCAAGTGTTTCGGGTTCAAACCCGGGTGTCGCACCTCTAAGAATTTCATGCGAATCACTTGTAACATTATTACGAATTACTAATACAGTGTAGGAAAACATTGTGAAGAAATCTACATGTCTGAGGAGAGTGTTTGTCGAAAGACATGAGAAGTTCGACAACCCACACTTGGAGTCGTATGGCTTGTAAAATAAAACTTGTTTATTAATATTTTGTTAGTTTGTCCTTATACGTGGTAACGAATACCCTGATAATGATTTCTTTATACTGGATTACTTTATTGGCTGAAGAGTGTCTATGATAATATTATATCCGGGGATATTACATGATTTCAGTATGATATTAATTATTATTATTAAGAACTTTGCAAATAGCCTCTTAATAGGGAAATAGGGAAGTACCTATAAATTACCTGTATGTATTCTACGATGAGTGTTCAGAGAGCTGGACGTGCTGAAGCCTTTGCTGCATACATTGCAGATGTGAGGTTTTTCACCTACAATAAATATTCATATTTCTTAGCTATAATTTGTAAAAGGTTCGTTCGATTGATCCATTTTAAAGTATTATTTTGAATGAACGATAAGAATGACTATATGCTTTTTGCAAATCTATAAGTTATTTTTTTTATTTTAATTCATTGCTTAAATAAATAAAAGAAGAAAAAACTTTTTGAAAATTTAAGTGCTTCGAAATTTTTTCGAAGAAAGATATCACCACTTATCACATAATACTATACTATCACTATTTAACAATTAAACAAATCTCATGGGAAAGTCTACGATAAAACGTTACCTGTATGGGTTCGCATATGTCTTTTCAATAGTGACGGTCTATCGAATGTCTTCAAGCACACTTGGCATGGTAACACTGTCTTCATCCCCTTCTGACTGGTACCTGCCCTCTTATCTACAAAACTTGTCCTTTCATACAATTTAACAAGATGATTGTTTAGTCCTGCGAGGAATTTCAAATCGAAGATATTTAACATTTTAGGTTTTCCTTTTATTGACAGATCTAAAGGTTCAGTTTGATAATTCATATTGATATATAATTTGTAATTTATATAAGAAAACTAGTACATTTTCCTAATTATTTACATGATTTTCTTTCAAATTTCCATAAATTACTGCGATAAGCTTTTCGTATACCGCCGTTAAATAGTCCGAGGGTTGACACGTACAAATGACGATGTTACAGTATTGAATTGTGTAAGATCGTTTGAGCATTGTGGTGACGCCAACAATGAGTTCTGTAGCATCGGCCACTAATCGACGTGATTTGACGGTTTTTTACGTGAAAACTAACGAATTAGGAATGTTAACATGATTTTTTTGATATGACATTTGCTTTTTTAAGTTTTTAAATGTCGTTTGTTGAATGTTAGATGATTTAGGGGCCAATTTGAATATTAAATATCTAGTAAGTGCATGTTTTAGTATCACGTAATCCTATATTTATGAATGATATTTTTTAATGTTTTTGTATTTTGAAAAAATATCGACACCGGTAATGACAACATGGTAATTCAGTATATTAGGCTGTAACAATGCTGGATAATTATGGATTTTGGACTATAAATATCTAGATGAGAATTGATTTAATTTTTTTTTACTGTCTCAATACTTAGAATTTTTAGTTGTCATAAGCAGATGCCGATATCAGTAACTGTAATTTACTGATTAGTTTTCACTGAAACTTATATAAACCGGATCATAACTTCGGACGATAAAACGTAAATTCTTTGTAACTTTAAATGACACAATTTTTTTTTGGTAAGAAAAAGTTTAAAACATAAATACTTTTTAATTTTTACTGATGGCTAAATTAAAGCGACTAACTATATGGTAGTTATTAGGTGTGAAAACATTAATATTTTCATGAAATATGAATCTCTTAGAATTATTTCCAATTGCCTCATCCAATTTTCGCACCCTACGCATGTATTGAAGAAAACGTAATCGACTATAAAGGTGACGAAGCAACAAAATATTTGGATTTCCACCTTTCATACGGACGGACGATATTTGTTATTTGTAGTATAACGTACATTGTATCGGCGGTATTGTGACTGCGATGACGATGAGCTTCTGATTACCCCGCACTGTGCTACTTGCTCTATTATTAGCCTTTTTTGGAAAGATATACCTAGATATGGGGACTGTTAGGTTATAGGTATTATTCTGTTCTGTATAAGATTGAAAGAGAAGTTTTTGATGATCGGTTGATCACTGTAGCATCTATTATTGCGTAAGCTTCGCACATTTTTTTAATGTGGTCATATCTATAGTCTCCATTATATAACAGTACCAAAATCGTGTCTATAGAGGAAAGATATTCGTGTTTTTCGAAACTCCACACATATCGTAAGCGGTGCGGGTAAAAACAATAGCCTATGCCAGTCCTCATGATGCAAACATGTTTTAGCATAAGAAGAGGACAAACAGACAGAGTTATTTTCACATAAATACTTTTGCTTGGAAAGAAAAATCTCAGTCCTGAGAAGATTTGATGACATTTAACGTCTGAGCGAAGGCCAATCACTAATTATCTACATATTATTTAATTATGAGTTTTTGTGTATGTAGGTAAACATGATATGTAATTTTTTCTATGTTAAACATTATATGTAAATAATAAGATGTAATTATGTTTTTTGTATTTTTTTAATATGTTTTATATAACACGGGTGAAGTCATCGTTTTAGCTAATATTTAGATATTACATGATTAATCTATACTAATATAATAAAGAGGTACAGTTTGTGAATTGTGAGTTTGTGATGTTGTAGGGGTTAGGTAATGTCTGGCTCTACTGAACCGATTTAGATGAAATTTGATAAGAAGATAGTTTGAGATTCTGGGAAGGACATAGGATACTTTTTAGCCCTGAAATCATCTCTAAAAGGCGTAAAAATGGGGATGAAAATTTGTATGAGTAATCAACCTAGGGACGAACTCGTGCGAAGCGAGGGTGAGTCGCTAGTATGTCATATAGTTGATATATTGGCGCGATAGTTAATTTAAGTTATTGCTAGCAATCATGTTAATGAATGTCGAATAAAAGTGATCTTTTGTTATGGAATAACGATCGACAATATCGGCTTGAATAATATGGGGTAAACGTTTTTGCTTTTGACCTAATAATATTACATTATTTTGCCATATAATTTTGTTTTCTGGCTTTTGCCACTTTGTTGTTGGTTTAGTGCTTAGAATAGAAGATATAACCCTAGATATTTGAGTTTAAGTTCGGAGTGCGGCCTAAGTAAGTAAGTAAGTATTAAGTAGCAACTTATTATGTTTTACACTCAGAAATTTTCACATTGTTACTCATTCATATCGAGCACGTACCTAATATGGTCGCCCTTGCGCTGGATCTCTATCCGGGTGAATCGTATTGCTGTATGAAAGTGAGAGGTTAAAGTAACAGATTTTGATTCCAAAAGGTAAATATATCGTTCATGGACCTGAGTATACGCATATATAATAAGATTCCACAATATGTACTAGATTTACTTTTTCAAAAATTTAAAGATAAAATTCTAAATATTGTATTGAGCAAAGCGTATTACTGACTGTTCAAAAGTTTCTTGTTGTTGAAAATTTGTGGAATTGAGAAATATTGACTCATATGCGGGCTATCTATAATATCATGTTAATAAAATTAATGTAACTTCGATATTTAAGAGAGCAACTGTTAAGTTTCTCTTGGGCTCTTCTCAGCAGAACTGCCTCCGAGCCGGTGGTAGCTTCCTCACGGACTGACTACACTGACGCTTTAATTAAATTTACGATTAAAAAGTGCTTGTAATAAGTCTAATTGAATAAAGTTTATTTCATTTCATTAGAGAATGCACTTGTATTTTCACTAACTTGTGCACTATTATATATTTTTTCGAAGAAGGCCAGGCTCAAATCTCAATAGGATTGATCATCTAATTAAATTTCATCATGACATTATAATCAAATTATATCGTTGTTTAAGTAATATGTAAATTCATTATTAATTATAATAAATCAGCAAAAAAAGCTATTATAAAATAAAATGTTCATTTCGAACTATTGGATGAATAACAAATTACTCTTACTCTCTATTGTAAATCAAGAGAAAACTAAGTGATTTTACAAGTATTCTTTAGTAGTAGTCTTTCATATCTGTTCTACTTTATAATTGCACATTTTAGATTTTAGATTCAAGACAAGATTATTCGGAGAAGTAAAATGAATAATCTATCTCTGTGCCAAATTTCACCCAAATCAGTTCAGCCGTTCTGGCGTAATTGAGTAACAAACATTCAAACTTTTGAATTTTTTCTGTGGTTTTCACGTGATGCGGTTACAGATAGACAGAAAATAATAAAAACTATAGATTCGGTCTCTTATAGAAACGAGTATATAATAATGACCATTTTAATAAGATTTTCCAAAAATTATTGAATGTTCAGATTCGACTCCGAATTTTATTATATGTATAGATAAGAAATGTTTCATACCGTACCGTAGCTTGGACTGCTTTTTTTTGGTTTTTAGTCTTATTTTATTTTCAAGTTAGAATCTTCAAAGAACTTTTCCTCGTTACAAAGTTCCGTATAAAGACGCAAAAATAAAAATTCCACCGTTTCAAATGCCGTCTTATTCAAATGCGTTCGCAAATCCGATTTTCGTTCTTGTTAAGAGCGCTTGTTTAACTTTACCTCCCTTTTTGCTGCTTTTATTTATTTTTTGTATGTTTAAGTGCTGAGACGAAAGTTCTTAGCGTTGGAATATTGCGGTCTTAGTTTTAAGGCTCAGGTATTCGTTGTTATATTTTACTGTGTCTTACTGCGTGCTGAAACATAAATATAACAACCCTAATTGGAGTCGGACTATTATTATAATATGTAGAAGTTTGTGTCCGTGTGTATGTTTGTTACTCCTCACACTAATGGATGGATTTGGATGAAATTTAGTAGTACATTGCAGTGTTATAATCTGGAGTAAGGCACTGGCTATTGTTTTGAACCTCGGGACGTAAGTCGCTACTTAGTAATTTATAAAAATTCTAATTTTTGTATAATTTTCTGGACAGTTCACGTCTGTAAAAACTGTGACTTTTGAGACGTCGAAGACCTTCGGTTTGCTGTAAGGCATTCACAATGTAGGGTACAAAAATAATCAGAATAGAACCATGAAAAAATCTTCATTTATTCTTTGTTTTATTTAAAATGTCAAATATTTGTATTAAACTGAGAAAATATTATGTTGCGATATTGAGTATCTTGCAGATTCCAGGTGACGCTGCGGCATCAGGGCTTTACCCTATCGTTGTAATGTCATTGTAGTCAAGTAACGGGATACCAGGATTTTTCGGATTAGATCTATCGATTTTTTCTTACAATATACTTATATGAATGTAATCTTTTGCACATGAGTGTGATTTCTGAAGTCCAAATATGTAAATAGCAAATAAATTGTTAAAAATAAAATGGTGACGAATTTTGAATTATAATGGTAATCGAATAATTTGCTATTTTTTGCAAAGAAAAATATTCGTAGTAATATGTTATTTGTTCAATTCAATTCTCTTCTCTTGTTAACGGGTTCGAAGCGTGCCAATTGAGCACAAACTTCGTCAATGTCGCGTAGAATGGGAAAGACACGAAGGAAAGTTATTTGTATTAACTCTTACAAAAATCAAATTGTAGTAAGCAATTAATTGATTAGCAAATATAGTTGTTGGTCTATTAAAATTTTCACATAACGTACCATTTTCACATAACCTATGTACATAGGTACTTACCACGTGAAAATTTCAATGATCCATACAAATACTGAATTATTCAAAATGAATCATTGTAATTTCAAATTTTCGTTTGGTGTATACTAGTTTCTAAATCTGTACAGTGGTCTCGTCACTACTTCATTATCTAGATATCTACTAGCCTATACCTATGTATAGGCTATTAAATAGATATACATACCTACATAAGATGTACTTGCATAAGTATAACTATATACATATTACATATATTTATCAAAAACATAAACATTAAGGATAGTC